AGGTAAGAGTGCGAAATGAAAATTACAATAGTTCTCGCCAGATTTCTGCGCCGTTTACGTTTTACGTACAACTTATCGCCTGATCGGCGCCAGTAATGCGCTCTTCAGTGGCAGAGAGCTCTCCTCGCTCGTCGCTAGCTGCTGCAAGTTTTTGATTAAGCATAGCAGCTGGTCCCACGGTGCTCGTAGTCGAGATTATTCTTTTATACTTATGATGATTGTAGCAAATTCATTGTGAAGCAAATGCATAGAGAGAAAAAAACATGGCGGATACCCATGGGAAGACTGAGAAAAAATCACACCTTTTCTTCTAGGAGTCTATATTTATCCCACTCGAGGAATTCCAACTCTTTTGCAGAAAACTCAACCTCTACCAAGTTCTCAAGTTCTTCTTCACGCCCGTTCATTACGTCTTCCTGATTCTAAAGTAAGATTGAAATCGTACAAGTAGCTGTTCTCAAAAAACAAGTTTGACCTACAAATTTTCTAAGTTGTTCTAATGCAGAGTGCTCATCGGATACGTGTCGTAATGTTTCCACATAATTCGTTCCAAACATGGCAGTCCACGGGCGATCGATTCTCTCTTTATTGAGGTGGGATTCTCTGAAACATTTTTGCATACCTTAAGAAGAACGTAATTATTCAAGCGCAATAAAACCTTGATGGTGTGGCAAGGTACTTAAGAAGAGCTCGTTTATGAAATTCGTAGAAAATTCGGTCACGGTACATGCTTAGTTCCACCTGAGCTGGAGAAACTTTTAAAATGCAGGGCATATTTCCTGACAAAATAAACACTTTTCCAAACCTTGGAGATGGTATTGTAGGATGACAGGTTTGCTTTCATAAATGCATATTGCAGCTTAGAAAAGTAAACTTCGCAATTGATCAGAACCTAAAGTATGATAGACGCTTTGATTAGTAAGTGGCAAACAAACTTACATTTTCTGCTTTCTTGCCTTCCGTCATAAAGGTCTTCGCGCCACTAAATCCCATGCATACCAAGTATCTCTTAAAAAATGGGAATTGGAAATTCATTTGGCAAGGGAAATTTAAGCAGCGAATCTTTTGACTTTGAAAATGAGTAAAAGCAGAACACCTCGCTATTTCCTCCTTTGCTGCTCATAGGTTTAAAAACGTAGACGTCATCAAAATGGGATGCGATTTTTTGAATGAGCAATCGTGTGTTTCGCGAATACATTGTGTAAATCTGCAAATCTAGTTCTGAGAAACCTTAAAAAAAGGTATGTGGAAGAGCATTGGGAAAGCACTGACCTTGACAACAAGCGAACCAAGATATGCGAGGAGTCGCACTGCTGCTTTCAACTCAGCCTCCAAAAGTGGTAATGTAACAGATTCCTGCTCCTCTGGGTTGTCCTAAACGGTTCATTTTGATTGCTCCAAAAAAAAAAGAAGTTGTTTATCAAACAAATTTA